AGGGCAAAAAAGAAAAAAAGTAAAGAAAAGAAAGAAAAAACGCATGAGCTGCAGACCAAATTCAAATTCAATTCTAACATATTTTCTATCCATTCCTTTCTCGCCTCAACTCTCAATCGGCGACAACCCAAGCTGTAGACGGCGAGATCCTGTCCATCTCCGGTCGACGAGAGCCCATATTTGCAGCCGTCATGGAGTACAGTAGTTTCACGAATGAACTGATTCGCCACTGTTAATATCTTTGATTTATGGTTTTTGAAGAATCAATTTTTCTGCCAAAAGTTGAATCATGTCTTCATCCAATACTCACTTCCCTTTTTTGTTTCTCTTATTCTCTCTCTTCATTCAACAATTTTTTTTTAATTATAAGTGATTTTATGAAATATCTCCCCTTTCTCTCTGCCAATCTGCCGGATTCTGAGGTATTTTTCAAACACAGATATTATGTAATTCATCATTTTTTGCTTCAGTTGCTTATGATGTGTTATTGCTTATGGTCTGACCTTTTTGCTAAGGAAAAATAGATGTTTTATTAGCACATGTAGTTCGCGTCCCTTTCCTCTGTTAGCTACATTAATATATGGGTAATATGCATCATTTATGCTTCTTGATTTATTAAACGACGGGGTTCTGTTCAATGATGAAACTCTTTGCTTGCTTACTATATGAGTCTACCCTGTGCAGACATTAGTCCTTTCTTTTGCGTTGCATTATTTAACCACCTATATTTATCAAATGATATACTATGCAGGTAAAGAGATTTTATCTTGAATAAGTTGCTATTAGAAATTAGTCATTAGTTGATGAACTCAAAAAAAGGAGCTCTGCCCGATAGAAGACAATCCTGAAATTATTCTCAGAGAGCGGGGAACTCATCTAGGTTATCTATCACGTGTCATTGAATTTTCATTAGTTGGTAAATGATAATCTAACTCATACCTCATTATGTTACTAATTCATATTTCAGGTTTTCCGCCTTCCCGATTTATTTTGGTGAAAATGCTATCGGCACTAATTTTAGTAAGTGTTTAAACTTATGCACTCCCAGCCTCCCCTGCCCCGTTGAAATGATACTTCCAATAATTATGCAATCATGGTTATCTTTAATTGCTTTATTGTGGTTTATGTTTTAATGAATATTTCCAATTCAAGCAGCTTTTCAAAATCCTTTCAAGAGAATTTTTACTGCTCTTCCCAAGCCAGGAGGAGGCGAATTTGAAAAGTTTTACAGCATTCTTACTTTGAATGATCCTAGATTTACTTCAGTACCTGTACTTGTAAATTAAGCATTGAGAATCTCTTGCAGATGCTTGCTAGCTGATATATCCTGGTTTATCCAGTAATTAAAGGTGGAATGGTCCTGTAATGGTGGAAGGGTATTGTTGTTGGTGTAATTAGTGTGCATTTGTTCCAGTAATGACATTTTGTNTGCAGATGCTTGCTAGCTGATTTATCCTGGTTTATCCTGTAATTAAAGGTGGAATGGTCCTGTAATGGTGGAATGGTTTTGTTGATGGTGTAATTAGTGTGCATTTGTTCCAGTAATGACCATTTGTTCTTGTAATTAGTGTGCATTTTGTTGATGGTGCCATTTGGTCATGTAATGGTGGAATTGTTTTGCATTTCAATCTGTAATTAGTTTGTTCTCAATGTCAGGATGAAGAATCAAGCGGTGAATTGAGTACCGTTAATGAAGCAACGAATGTTGTGGCCAATAAGGAATTCGAAGATATTCCAAACATGTTTGACTCTCTTGCTCGAATAGCCGATAAAAGGACGTGCGAAGGAGTATGGGAAATGAAAGTAGTTAGTTGTTGAACGAGTTATTTGTATTGTGTTCATTTTGTATTTGCTATCGAAGAATAACATTGTATTGATATCAAAAACGCTTTGTAT